CCCCAAAACCCCAAAACCCCAAAACCCCAAAACCCCAAACCCCAAAACCCCAAAACCCCAAAACCCCAATGTTTGACCCAGATGTTGATATAAGATTGAGCAAGATTTTCTATAGCAAGCCTTACTTCTTCATATATTTTCCGATAACCGGTCTTGAAGAAGTCTTTGGCTCCTCTGGCTTTTTCTCTTTGAGACCTCTGAAATTAGTCCATGTTCCTCCTGTTTTCTCCTCTTTGAGCTTCTTATCTGCAATAAATTGCTTTGAAAGAATTTCAGCAATGATTTCTCTGTAAGGATTTTTAAGTACAGTAGCTTCTAATATTTTAATCTCTTTTTCTGGCTTATCTCCAGTCTTTGTAGGGATTGATTCCATTACTGAGAGTACCTCCTTTCCTCCAACAACTTCTCCAAAGGCCGTGTGCATTCCATCAAGATGTGTTCAAGGCCCGAATGTAATAAAGAATTGCGATCCATTAGTATTTGAACCAGAATTGGCCATACTGAGTATTCCTTTTCTGTTATGGCCTATTTTTGGGTGAAATTCATCTTCGAATTGTTTGCCAAAGTAAGAAGTTCCCCCTGTTCCGTCTCCTTTTGGATCTCCTCCCTGGATCATGAATTCAGGGATAAGTCTATGAAATGTCAGGCCATTGTAATATTTGCTTTCACAAAGTTCGATGAAATTTTCTCCTGTTTTAGGGCAGTAATCACAATGGATAAGGAGGCTCATCTTGCCTAGAGTTGTAGAAAGCTCAATTTCCCCTTTTATTTGCCTTGACTTTATCAATTGGTAATAATCCTTCCTTATCTCCTGATCATTCTTCATTCTGAACTCGTTTTTATAAGCAGGAGTTAGGGATGTACTGGTAAAACTTCCTGATGCCTTCCCTTCTGTTTGTGAAGAATGCCTATTTTTAACCTCCATTTTCTTGATCTGAATGAAAGCCTTAGGCTCAATTTTGAAGTCCTTTGGTAAAGGATTTTTAAGCTTTAGAGGGTTTATGAATGTCTTTTTCTTCTTTGGCTTTGGAGGTTCTATCTGTTTATCTTCCTCCTCTCCCTCCTGGGTTTTGATCCTCTTATGAATATTATTGTATTCAGCCTCAGGTGTCAGTGTTCCTGCTTCTTTTTGAATTTTACTCATTAATTTCTTCTGAGAGTTGGTTAAATTCATCGTATTTTCTGTTTTTGGTTCAAAGTTTAGGTCATCTCCATTTTTGAATCAGTAGAATTCATTGATGTTTCTATCTGGCTCATTTGGATTTTGAAGAGTGATAATCTTTTGTTTGGAGAAAGGCTCAACATTTCTTAAATTATCATAGGCATCATAACTGTAGACTTCTCCAGTCTCTTTTATAGCAACGATATGGCTATACTCATTGAAGATTTTTCCAGTTATTGGGCAGTAGTATTCTCCTTTTTCGTTTTTAGAGAATTTTAGCTTGATTAAATCTGATAATTTGAAGGGATCTCCGTTGACTGGATTCTTCTTATACTTTTGAATATAAGGAACAATGTTAGTAAACTCAAAGATTGTGCCATCTGGAGTAGCAACAGGGCTACTGAAAGGGAGGAAGCTAATAGCACAGCAATAGAAAAGGGGCTTTTGAAACTTCTGTTTTCCATGTATTGTTGATCCCTTGCCACCCCAGTCAATTATATGCTCTGTGGTGGAAATCCACATTTTGTCTTGAGTATGTCTCTTTTTCCCCATATTTAAAATATCAATAATTGATTAGTTTAAAGGGGTTTTGGGGTTTTGGGGTTTTGGGGTGATC